TATCCGTCCCCCCATCCCCATCCACATCTTCATCCGTAACCACCTCAGCGTCTTTAGAGGAATTCTACTCTCGTGGTGGACAAGCCACACGCTGCTCTTCCTCTTCCTCTTCTCCCTCGGAACACTACTCTCCAGGACTCGCCACACTACCCCCCGGCTCCACACTCGCACTCGCCCTACTCCTCTCCTTCGCGCCGCCACCACCCAGACTGAGCTTGATCTTCTTCTTCTTGGGTGAATCGCCGCCGACATCATCGACATCTCTATCCCTTTTCCCTTCGCCCCTCTCACTACTCTCACTATGTTTCCGATCACCTATATCCGGTCTTCCTGTTTTTAACTTGACTTTCAGTGTGCCGTTGCTGCCACCGCTCCCATTAGACGGTTTATCGCGGTCCGCTTTCTTAATGTACGAGCTCTTCTTCTTCATCTTGCGGCGCTCGGGGGTATCGTCAGCGTCGAAGTCGTCTGCGTCGTCGGTGGCGGCGAGGCGTTTGACGGGCGAGATGCCCTTTGATTTACTGCTTGTTTTGGTCTTCTCGGAGGGGTCTTGGGAGCCAGGCGCAGGCGTGCCCATGCGGCTTCCGAGCGGCGTGTTGCCGACGCCTGAGCCTGTGCCGTTTTGACCAGTGAGTTTAGCCATGGCGTTGCGCGAGGACTGGCGGCCGCTGATGCCGAGGCACTTTTCGAGGTGTTGGGCGAATCGCGTTATGAGTAAGCTGCGCTTGCAGTTGGGGCAGGTGTGCCAGGGAATGTACGAGGCGGGCTTGCCGCCGGTGTTGAGTTTGATTTCCTTGGTGTCGCCGCCGGCCATGTCGGTGTCTTGGGAGCCGGGGGTGCCCACGCTCTCCTTTTCGGCGTTCTTCTGCTGCTGCTTGATGAGCTCGCGTTCCTTCTTGCTCTTAGCCATGTCGGTGGGGAACGGGTTGCCGTAGACGTCGTGGCCGGATCGCTGGACCCACGGATACAGCATGCAGTACTCTTTGGTCAGGTCTGGGTTCTGCATGCCCTTGCCCATGATGGGGTGCATCAGCCGGGGCAGCTTGCAGTGGGGACATATGATCTCGGGCGTCGTCTTGAGCGGGTTGCCCTTGAGGAAGACGCGTCCGTTCTCGTACTTGGCGGCGGATGTCTCAGCGATGGGTATCGACGTGGCGCCCGTCGTGTTTTGCTTCTGCGACTGGGGCTCGAGGTTGGCGAGGGCGATGGATTCGGCCTGGGTGGCCGCCGACTGCATGCGGAGCAGCTTCTCGGAGCGGTGGCACGACAGGGCCGTGGTGAAGACGATGTTGCTCAGCAAGTCGTCGAGGATGTTGGTAGTCTGCGACACGATTGTTAGTAGCCGAGGAGGCGGTTTGCGGCGGACAGGCGTACCAATTCTGCCAGCGCGTCCGAGGGCAGGCCGACGGCAGCGTCGACGCCCTCGGCCTGGTCGTCTGCCGGGCGGTCCTCAGACATGACGCAGCTGGGCGTGGTGGACTATGGTGTTCAGGGCGTGGAGAAATGGTTGCTGAGACGTTAGCGGCCACGACGGGACATATCGCGCATCCCTGCTCCGGCTCCGATTTAGCGCATGCAGCCAGAGTTGGCCTACCCCACACGCCCACCCACACACCGAGAACTGCGTGTTCACCCAAGAATCTGCGGTGGAGCTGCGCGTCTCCACTGATGCATGTGACTGCAACAATGCAACAAGCAATGGGTATCATTCAGAGCATCTATCCACGCCTATCTTGGCTACCTAGACTACCTCCCATCGCGCCAGCCTGCCGATGGTACTTCCCGCCTGTCGCACAATGCACACGCGATCCGATTTTGGCACGCCCGAGTCAGACCCAGGGGCGACCACCTTGTGCATTACCAGATTCGCAACCGCTGTCGGCATGCCCTCTGCGAGGTTGTAGTTGCCCGTTGTGACGAAGCCGATTAGATCCACTTCGTCAGGCACTAGAGGGTAATTCTCCTCGCCAGCGCTCGGTGGGCCGTTGTCTAGGAGACTCCTTGCAAGATCCCTGCGCTGGATATGGTCTGGCTGCTTAACGACACCTCGACTCTGTTGCTTCGTCGACGTACGCTTCGTGCCGGGTTGTGGCAGCTGGGCTAGCCATTGCCCACGGAGTTGTGGGTCGCTAGGCAGACGGTAGATGCGAGCGCAGTCTGTAGGGGTGCCTCGTTGGACCATCGTGATCTTGACCGTGAATACATCTGATGGCAACAACGAGCCGCTCGACGAAGCCGTGCCGTCAATCAAGCCAACAGCCTCTCTGAACGAGAGCTGTCTGACAGGAGTTCGAGATTCTTGACGTGAAGACACATCTGCAATCAACCTCTTCCAGTCGCAAGACCACGGATCTCCAATCTCGCCCTTCCTACCCTTACCAAGCTCAATAGTCGACCATTCAATCCTCTTCCCCTTCGGACGCTTAGTCCACTCGTGCTTCCTCACTTCACGCTCACGCTCTTCCCAGACCCAACCAGCCTCTGTACCAGGATGGTCGTACGGGAAGTGCGGCTTCGAGCGCTCAAAGTCCACCTGACGTCTCTCTTTCAAGCCGCCGAATCGGGGGTTGCCGCCTGTGGAAACCGGATAGCGCATAATCTGTCGCCATACAGGCATCACGCATTTCCAGGGAAGGAGAATGGTCCAGGACTTGCTTTCTCGTGACACGAATACAAGTGTTGGAATGCGTGGGTCCGTGGATCGGGCCTCAGGATCTTCACCTAGTGTGCATGCGCCCTTCCGGCGATTAATTGATTTTTGAGAGGGCATGGTTCGCTGTGCGGCTAGTCGGCTGTTGGTGTCGAAGATTGAGGCTGGAGTCAGAGTATTTTCGACTGACCAGGTTGCCAGAGTTCCCGTCAAGGCAGTCAGCGACTGCTGATCGTGTGCTATCGGCGAAGTGCGAGGAGGATCGCGAAGCCGGGGATCTGAAATATCAAACGACAACTGCGCACCGGCTGGTAACGATGCAGCGTCCGTCACAGAGGCCAAAGTCGGCCATAGTGACTGGGGAGTATCAGAGCCAGCCTCAGGAGAAGCCACCGGGGCAAGAACAGAGCAGAGAGCCTCCGCAGCAGCCGGACCTACAATCTCAATAGACCCAATTTCGAAGCGGAGATCTCGCACGGTAACAGCAGGCTTCTGTACTTTAGCAGTCCGAACAACTTCCTCCCAGAGCTGCAAGAAAGCGCCCGGATGCACCCGAATGAAGGCTTTCGTCTTTTTGCCGTCCGCATGCGGTGCACACCAGATGACAGTCACCCGAGCGATCTTCACCAACGGCTTCGATTCTCTTTCGTATATCCAGCCTTCCCAGGTCCTAGTGCCATTCCGCCACTTCTTAGCCCTGCCTCTGTTCTGCCATGGATCATCTGTGTCCTCTGCAGAGAAGTGAAGACCCTTGAGTAGCCCCGTTATACTGGCTTCAGGACCCTCCAGGCTGAGGGTCGACATGTAGCTCATATCCCACGCGACAGCTCCCCGCTGGGTTGCAGCTCTGTGTGTGAGACGGTATGCCTTGACCGCTGGCTGCAACGGTATCGCAAACCGCCAGAGAGGCTCTTTCGGATCCGTCATCTTTGCGCGCTTGGTATGCCACAGGTGCGTAGGAAGCCAGGTCTTGTCTCGCTGGCGTCTGCGGAATCGCGATGGAGGGGTAGCGGGTGTGGCCAAGGGCGGGAACTTGCGCTTCCGCTTCGGTGGTGAGGGCTTCGTGACTTGCCTCGGCGCATCCTCCATCTTCGCGTCTCCGTCGTCGTCTTTCCCACTGCCATCCTTCCTCTTCTTCGCCTTCTGCCTGCTCTGCTCCCTCCCCTCCTTCCTCAGGAACTTCTTCTTGCCCTTCCCAATACCGCTCCCACTAGTACCTCTGGCAATGGGCGTGTTGTCTTCTTTAGCTTCTTGCCGCGCCCTGACCCGCAATCTCTTTGGCACGCGCTGCGGATTGTGACTTGCGGTCCTCCTCCTCAACTCCCGTGGCACATCCTGGAAAGCCCGTCGCGAGAGCCCTTTCTTGGCCGCCTTCATGGCGCCCTCGAGCGACCTGATTTCATTCTCGTGCGACTTGAGAAAGTTCCTGACGTTGATCTCGCCATTGGGGTACGCGTTGCTAGTCGAAACCGCGGGGATGACGTACTGGGGTCGTTGCTGGAATCTGGTGCGTTTAACAGGATTGCCAGGGCCCGTGTGGGCAGGCTGCTTTCTCTTCCTCGAGCTATCGGCCATGGTGGGACGTCTATCAGCTTATGCTATGCTATCTCAAGCTCACTGGGCCAACGGTCGCGGCGACTGAAATCTTAGCGAGATCTCCACACCAACGGGCCTACTAGCGCGGAGTCATTCGTCACGTCCGCACGTGTTACGCCGAAGCACTGACAGCCTACCAGTGCCGCGCTGGACCCTTTGGCATTGGTCTGCTGCATTCTGTTTCATCGCGCCGACCCCCCTAGCCCGTTGTTTGATTAATTACTCCATTCACAACATCTTCATTTCGCGATTCGGCCTAGAGCTCCACTTGCTGTGCCCCCCTGTGATTGCACCTATCCCCTGCATTGTGCGCAGCCACCATGCTGCCCTGTCCATGTGGTCTAGGACATGTCCTGATCATTCAATGTTTTCCCACACTGTGTCTTCACACAACAACAGCATCTCTACTTTGAACAGCGCCCACCCCACTCCACATAGCACATCCTCTATCATTACCACACGACGCACGCACCCACCTTGCTATTGCTAGTACATAATGACCACCCACACATACACCACAATGTCTCCGACTCCCAGCTTTCAACCTCCCTCCGAGCAAATGTGCAAGATAAATTTCAGCCCACTGCGATCGCCCTCTCCGCGCAAACGCTTCAACAACCACGGGCGCAACCAGTCTGAAGCTATCCAACGCCCGCGGCCCATTAGTGTAGCAGACAACTCTCCAATGGTGCAGCACACGAAAAGGTCCTCGATATACGTCTCAGAGGGATGCTATACTCTCAAAGGTCCAGCCATGGCCTCGCCGACGAACGACCCCTCCGATGTTGTCGATCACTACGCTATCCTCGAACTCACTCCCAAGGCCACCACCGACGAGATTAGGGCTGCGTATCGCCGTCTGCGAGGTGTGTACTTTGCCAACGACGCGAAGAAGTACCGTGCGCTACAGACTGGCTTCGATTGCCTCATGGACCCAAATACTCGCCAAGTCTACGATGCTAGCTACCAGCCAGCTGCGGCAACGCCGGATTCGCTATCTAGTATCGGTGAGGTCCTGGATCAGGGAAAACACTGGCGCAAGGATAGTGCTCATGGCGACGACGCTATCGCCGAGGAGGAAGAGGAAGAGGAGGAGCAGGACCTACGGACTGACGATCCGAATTGGGCTCTTAAACGATTCCAATGTGAGGGCCATGAGATTATGCTGGGCACGGAGCCGTATCAGTCCTGGATCCCTCTGCCCACATGCTCACTGCGGGCATGTAGAGGACCGAAGTATCTCGGCAATTTCGCAGTGAACGCATATCCGACCGCGAACTAGTCCTCTTTCCCCATCGCTCGATATACCCCAAATCTAACACACAGCCTTATCTACTCGGCTTGATGCGCCTGAGTTCTTCACGATTGTTTATAGCAGAGCAGGTCTTGCATGCATTTAGCGGTCTGGCCTTGCGGCGCAACTGGGCGGTCACTTTGTTCCTTCTTGGTCCCTTTGGTCCCTTTGTCACCTTAGCGTTGTTTTATGCACACAAGCGGCGATTCACCATCATCCCCTTTTCTCTGTACAGGATAGAAAGTCCCAACTTTACTGCAAATTGGCTACACTCACTACATATCTCGTATATCGAGCACACTCTGAATGATAATGTATGACACTAGGAGACTTGGTTCGATCGGCGTGCATATGCATGTGATGAAGTTTATATGGCGAGTTCTGAAACATCAGGTCCGCATACTCCGTACGACGGTTTCTGCGATACGCAGGAGACATGCAGGACTACAATGCTAGACAAACGACGGGAAGACCAATGGTGTCACGCGAAGGGGGTCATGACATCACGAGGTAGCGGTGCAGTGGGGTGGCAAAGTAGATAGACCAGAGTCGCATTGCTGATATCGATCGCTATGATACAGGGCTCTAAGTTGCAAATGCCACTCTGATCCGATCCTGTCCTGCTCTAAGACACTGTCGCATGCTGGGTGTTGTCGCGAGCTTTCTACTGGTCGAGCTTTACGGGGAAGTTGCCAGCCTCTATATCATGTGTTAGCTATAGCTCTTTCAAAGTCCGTTGCGCATGCAGATAGATCTTTCGGAATCAGATACTCACCACGCTGGTCGTCCCATCGCGATGTCCAGCCGCTGGGGCACAGGGACTTGTAGGCCAACATGAACTATATCCATCAGTATGCATGCCCATCTTCAATGCGACGTTTCCGGAGTGCGCACCTGGCGGCAGGGGGCAAAGTCCTCGCCCTTGGCGATGATGCACTTGTGGTAGTCGACGTAGTTTTGCCAGCAGTGCTTGGTCTGGTTCTGGTTGGGGAAGCGGGCATCGAAGCCTATATGCGCCGAAGCATGTTAGCACCCAATACGGCCCATCTCAAGCTCCAGGCGTCATTTTGGCAGGCGGTGCAGGGCGCAGAGCAAGTCCGGGGAAGGCGTACCAGCTGTGCGGCGGCAGATTAGCGATTGAAGCTCGACATGCGGAGGTGCGGGAAAAGCTCACCAGTGACAAACTTGAAGGGCTTGGTTACGAGCTCGTCGCCGTTCTCGCCGTTCTCGTTGTCAGACATGATTGCGATGGGGGATTGGGCGTGGTTCGGGCGTGGGCGTGGCGGCAATGGCAGGCGGGCGTGTGCAGTCGAAGTGGTGACGGAAGTGAAGTTGTGAGGTTGCGATGGTTCGACCCGAAACGCATTGTCCACACACAATTCGCTCGGCGTTTTCCGGGCGACAGGGCCCGCGAGCTCTCTCAGCATCTGCGTGCCTCACTGTGACGAAAGCCCGCGAAGACGACCTTCGATCCCCCACGACAACGTCTACGAACAATCCTCCACCCCAATTGCGAAGCCAGCAATACCGCCACCATGTTCAAAGCCACCCGCGCCCTCTCCATGCAGCCAACTCGTATGTTGGCCATGCAGCCGACACGCATGGCGGCCATGCAACCTACGCGCATGATGGCCATGCGCCAGAGCCCCCAGCTCATGATGAGGCAGACAATGGGCCTGCGCAACCCCGTCCCCGTATGCCTCGCCGCCTTCCATCTTCTGGGAACTTGATGCTGACTATACTGCAGAAGGAGGAGCACGGCGGTAAGCCAATCACAGCGTCCACTTTATGCCATCGAACATGAATTGACGATTGACCATGTAGCCCACACCGTATCCCAGCGCATCCGCCAGCTCAAGAACATTCCCACTGAGATCTGGCCTCTGAGTACGTCTAGCCCTCCCTTTCCCTCATCCCCATCTCTGACTCTTGCTAACCCAAACTCTAGTCGTCGTCCTCGCGTAAGCCCCTCCATTGCGCCCGCATATACCCTCACATACACCCTCATAACACGTAGTCTAATACATCTACAGCATCGCCGTCGGCATGGCCTTCTTCTCCATCACCCGGAAACTCTGGGTCGACAAGACGCTCCGTCTCAAGCGACAGGGCAAGCAGGACTAGATGTCTGGCTGAGAAGGAAGGAACCGGATACGAGAAGGATGGAATCGGCGGGCTTGGAAGGGCTCCAGCAGCCATTGTGTATAGGTACAGCATACGGGATAGAGTCCGAGTCACGTTCGATAATCAAGCATGAGATCCCTTTGTGTTGTGTCGTGGGTTTGAATTTGAATCTGATAAACACGAGACATCTTGAATCGTGCCTTTGATATTGCAGCTGACATGGCGATGTACGAAGCAGAGCACCAGTGATTTATGTCGCGCTTCTTGAACTATAATGGTGATATGCGGCTCGTAACCTGATATGCACGAGACAGCACTTGGTATCAAATGTTTCCCAAACGCCTGCAAACGCCGTGCTATGAGACCAAAGAACCAAAGAGATTACACTGGCTTCGGTCCAGCCTCGTCAAGACCCTCCAGGCCCTGCATAGGGTCCATGGGCCCGTTCGCCTCCTCTTGAATCTGCTCACTTGCTTTGCGATCCTCCTCACTCACGGCATGCTTGGCCAACCAGCCCTCCTGCATTTTGTTAGCATATCAGACGTGTAATTTTTCAGAACAAAAGAAACGTACCTGCTCCCAGATGGCGGTCTTGCTGCCTAACCCTTCATTCGCGTCTTTCTGTGGCTTGGCTGCTGCTACCTTGATGACAGAACCGTATAGCTCGCTCCGGTCCATGTTGTCGATGGCGTCGGTTGCGTCGGTTGCAGTCTCAAACTCAACATAGCCGAACCCCCGGTGTTGATCGCCCTGGCTCTGGTTCTCCGGTTTGGGCAAGTTGACTTCGACAATATCGCCGAATGGCAGGAAGGCGTGGAAAAGCGTCTGCTGGGTGACTGCCTGGTCGAGGCCGCCGACGAACACGGTGGCCTTTAGTCGTGACGTGTCTGATAAATTCGACATGGTTGCCTGTGTAATGCGATTTGCGGCTTCGGTGGTAGGATAGTCGTGTTCTCTTGACTGCGCGCTGAAATTCGATATCACGTGGTTAGCGGGACCCACCTTGGCTGGCGCGCCCGCCATGGACCAGGGAAGGACAGGTGGATGGTCCATGGTGAAGCACGTCGTTGCCTCAACACCTAGTCCGCGCTCAAGACACATTGCGGACGCTCTTTAACACCACATAACCCTCCCGTCGCCCTCTACAAAACCCGCTCCCTTGTCCATCATTTTGTTCGTGCCGTATTCCCCAATTCGCTAATCTGACACCGCGGCGCCATCACCGCCAAACACCGTCATGGTCCGCCTACGAGAGATCCCCCGGACCGCCTGTTTCGCCTGGTCGCCAGGCCCGACGCAGCCCCTGATTGCTACTGGAACCAAGGCTGGGGCTGTGGATGCCGACTTTTCGAATGAAACACAATTAGAGCTCTGGGAGCTCAAGTTGGACGACAGTGAGCAGGGCGTCGAACTCAAGCCCGTTGCTACTGTGAGCGTAGAGTCGAGGTACTAGAGGATATTCCTAAGCCATTGGGACCAAAGAACTAAACGGCATGCCAGGTTCAACGACATTGCGTGGAGTCAACCCAGCGAACAGTACCCGCGGGGCATAATAGCGGGCGCACTCGACAGCGGGGCACTCGTGCTATGGGACGCAGAGAAGCTGCAGGCAGGCGAAGGGTCAGAGCGCATGGACAGCTGCATGCAACCACAGAGTGCTGACGTTATGCAGCGACGATGCGGAAATTGACCAGATCGACAAGCACACCGGCCCCATCCAGGCGATACAGTTCAACCCCTTCCGATCCAACATCCTCGCCTCGGCCGGTGCCAAGGGCGAGCTCTACGTCCACGACCTCGCCGACGACTCCAAGTCCTTCCGCCTCGGCAAGGCTGGAGCGAACCCCGACGAATACACTACACTGGACTGGAATAAGAAGGTTGCGCATATCCTGGCCACCGGTAGCAGCGGCGGCTTCGTCACCGTCTGGGACGTCAAGCTCAAGAAGGAGAACCTCACATTAAACCACTATGGACGGAAAACAGTCAGCGCGGTTTCCTGGGACCCCAATGTGCCCACGAGACTAGTCACCGCTATACCGACCGACCAGAACCCGCTCGTGCTGGTGTGGGACCTACGCAACACCAATGCGCCCGAGAAGACACTTCAAGCACACGACCAGGGCGTGCTGTCGCTTTCGTGGTGTGTGCAAGACAGCGACCTTTTGTTGTCTTGCGGCAAGGACAACAGGACGATTGCGTGGAACCCGCACACCGGCGAGCAATTGGGCGAATTCCCAGTCGTGACAAACTGGACCTTCCAGACCAGATTCAACCCTTCGAACCCGAACCTCCTCGCGACCGCATCCTTCGACGGCAAGATCGCAGTTCAAACACTACAAAACACTGGGGCTGGCGCGGACCAGAACAAGGCCGCGACGGAGGCGCCTGCAGGCGAGGATTTCTTCGCTCAGACCCACGCAGAACCCCAGGGCGCATCTTTCTCTCTGAAGACACCCCCGAAGTGGCTGAAGAGGAGAGCAGGTGTGGCTTTTGGCTTTGGTGGAAAGCTGGTGCGATTCGGCATCGTCGATAACAAATCCAAGATTTCTATCTCCACATTTGCTGTAGACTCGGACGTCAGCGCGGCAAGCGAAGAGTTCGACAAGGCTCTAGATAAGGGCGACATTACCGCAATCTGCGAGTCGAAGATTGCTAAGGCAGCCAATGAGGAAGAGAAGGCCGACTGGACCGTAATTGAGACTCTCACGTCGGAGAACCCGCGAAGCAAGCTTGTCGAGTACCTGGGCTTCTCCGACAAGGATGAAGAGCCAGAAGAAGAGAAGAAGGAGGAGAAGACAAACGGCGATGCGGATGAGGGGTCCTCGTTCTTCGACAATGCGACAGACGAGGGCAACTTCCTGTCCGATCTCGCGGCTTCCAAGGGCGCGAAGACCAACAATCCCTTCCAGATCTACACTGGTTCCGAGTCGGAAGCTGACACCAAGATCACCCGCAACCTCATGCTTGGTGACTTCAACGCGGCGTTGGACGTGTGCCTAAAGGAGAACCGACTGTCAGATGCTTTCATGATTGCCATCTGCGGTGGAGAGAAGTGCATCGCCAAGGCACAGGCTGCATACTTCAAGAGACAGTCCGACGCACCCAACTACCTGCGCTTGCTTGCGTCAGTGGTCGGAAAGAACCTATGGGACTTCGTATACAACGCTGACCTCAAGGACTGGAAGGAAGTCATGGCCACGATCTGCACATTTGCCGACCAGGCCGACTTCCCCGACCTTTGTGAGGCTCTCGGAGACCGTCTCGAAGAAGCCATCTCTGAGGAGGAAGGAACGTACCGAAAAGATGCGTCTTTCTGTTACTTGGCTGGTTCCAAGCTTGAGAAGGTCGTTGTCAACTGGGCACAGGAGCTTCAGGAGAGTGAAAAGGCAGGCATCGAGCAGACCGACGGCGACAACAGTTTCTCTATCCACGCACGATCACTACAGGAGTTCATTGAGAAGGTCACTGTATTCCGAAAGGTCACCAACTTCAAGGATGCCGAACAGCAAAAGGAGGACGACTGGAAACTCGAGCCTTTGTACGCAAAGTACGTTGAATACGCTGACATCGCATCTGCCCACGGTCAGCTCGCAATTGCGGAGAAGTATCTGGATCTCCTGCCTCAAAAGTACCCAGCTGCAGATGTTGCCAGGAACCGGGTCAAGCAAGCCACAAGGAAGGTTGCAGCTCAGCCAGCGGCAGCACAAAAGCAAGCCCAATCAACCACTGCTGGTCGTCGTCAAGTTGTGGTCCCGTCGTATGGACAGCCTGCACAAGCAACACCGGCACCGCCCCAGCAGACGCCCTACGCTCCGGTCAACCCTATGCAAACGCAACCAAGAGCGTCACCTTATGCCCCAGTCAACCCCCTATCCTCGCAAGCCCAGCCCACTGGACCGTCAACATTCACACCAACAGCAGCACCCGGCAACTCGTACACACCGGTCGGTTACCAGCCATCTCAGCCTCAGGGCTATGGTTACAACGCAGCGCCCCAACAAGGAATCGCACCTCCGCCACGCAACTTCTCAAACTCGCCATCAATCGTGCCAGCAGCCAACAGGGGCAGCATTCCTGCCTGGAACGACACACCAGACTTCGGTCCCCCCAAGCC